CCCTTCCCAGGTTTTACTGGGCTTTTTTTTTGTTATTTAAATTGCTTATTAAATATTTGTTGCTAGCCCGTAAGTAATTCAGTAATTTCATTGTTTTAATTGTTAAAACACACCTATATCCACAACAAAAGCAGTTAAAGCTTCATATTGTAGCGATGGAGCGTCTTGTTTTATTATGCGGGATGTTAAATCGTCACATTGGAAATTATATTCCTGTGATTATATTCCTGCAATTTCTGTTATTCACCTCGATTCTCTCCACAAGGCGCTTGTGAGCTCAAAATCCAAGCAGGTATCCTAAAACACAGGATTTCAAGAAATCTGTAAAGGGGGTGTCAGTAACAGCTCCAGCGCCGCCGCCGTCAAGAAAACCCCCTTTAGAAGGTCACAACCAGCCACGGTACGAAAAGTGACGCCGACAGACATTCTTTCAAAGAATTATAACAGGGAATTGTAAAAGGTGAGCGGTTGCTTTTCAGCAGGTGACTCGGGAGCACTTGAGAAAAGAAAGAGTGAAAAGATTTTGGGTCACTTCAGAGCCCACTTCGAGGAAGACAAGCTTTGAGAGAGACCTTTGGACTTTCTCAAGGCAGGTGAGCGTGCAGGAAGAAAAGCAGCCGGCCCGCAACAAAACCACAGCTTATTTTTGACAAATGCGTTGAAAAGCACAAGGAGATCATGAATATTTATAGCACTGAAACAGACTGACATTTAATTTTATTTGCGTTAGGATTTAAAATATTTTGATGATATGATTGCAGATAGTTGAGAGCAAAAAGAAGTATGTGCTGACAGACAACGGATCTTCCAAACTGGAGAATATTCCAACATATGTTAGGGAAAAAAACCTTCAGCTGGACCCTCACTCCACCCACACTCAGGCTCTAATAATTAGAGAGATCTTAGTCACTTTTATAGCAGCGGAGAGGGGGAACTCTGCTACTGGAAACAGCAGCCTGAACTTGGCTACCCGGATCTGAGGCACTGCTTTGAGCCAAAAAATATATATATTTATAGTCTTTAGTATAAATTCCTGGATTTTTAATAAAGCAGATGCCAGTTACTGCCTCTGGTGTGTACACAGAGCCATGCGTGTAGATGTTTATGCTTATATTGCAACGTGCAAGGCAGGATCCTACAGCCGATTCTGAGGGAAAACATCAGGAAATGTGAAAGCTGAAGGCGCCAAAAGGTATTTGGTTTTTGGTACAGCCACTGTAATAGTTCCTGTCCCGTATGCCCCAGCCAGTGGAAATCAATGGCATTTTCTCTGTGCCTCAGGGATTTCCCATTGATAGTGATGTGTAACATGCAGTGAGTGTGGGTTCCACTCATCTCAGTTATCACTTGGGGCTTTATCACTTTTGGGAATACCAAACCGGGTGATACCATGACGAAATGTGAAAGCTGAAGGCGCCAAAAGGTATTTGGTTTTTGGTACAGCCACTGTAATAGTTCCTGTCCCGTATGCCCCAGCCAGTGGAAATCAATGGCATTAAAATGTGAAAGCTGAAGATGCCAAAAGGTATTTGGTTTTTTTGTACAGCCACTGTAATATGCCCCAGCCAGTGGAAATCAATGGCATTTTCTCTGTGCATCAGGGATTTCCCATCGATAGCGATGTGTAACATGCAGTGAGTGTGGGTTCCACTCATCTCAGTGAGCCTGGGGGGCTTTATCACTTTTGGGAATACCAAACCGGGTGATACCATGACCCAATTTAGGATCCCAAGGTTTCCACCCTCCCTTCTGAACCTCAAACACCTCCTTTCAAGCCTTCTACTTTCCCATCCCGCTCTTGGATGAAATAACTCTGTTTCAGTGACTTTCCCACCCAAGCAAGCAGTTAAGACATCGGATTTGCTTCACAGAGACAGAAGAAAACTGCAAAACACTACTCCTTGCTCAGGTGATTTATACATTTGTCCTCTCCAAGGGAAAGTGAAATACCACAGCATTTATCTGCACTGCATCAACTGTTACGTAGTGGGTAACACCTTAAATACGTTACTTGTAGGTTTTAGATTAACAAACTTCCATCGATTTATCCCCCATGCTGATACTGCACAATATCTGAACTTATTCCAGTTCAGCAGCTGATTCTATGGCTGTTGGGAATACCAAACCGGGTGATACCATGACCCAATTTAGGATCCCAAGGTTTCCACCCTCCCTTCTGAACCTCAAACACCTCCTTTCAAGCCTTCTACTTTCCCATCCCGCTCTTGGATGAAATAACTCTGTTTCAGTGACTTTCCCACCCAAGCAAGCAGTTAAGACATCGGATTTGCTTCACAGAGACAGAAGAAAACTGCAAAACACTACTCCTTGCTCAGGTGATTTATACATTTGTCCTCTCCAAGGGAAAGTGAAATACCACAGCATTTATCTGCACTGCATCAACTGTTACGTAGTGGGTAACACCTTAAATACGTTACTTGTAGGTTTTAGATTAACAAACTTCCATCAATTTATCCTCCGTGCTGATACTGCACAACATCTGAACTTATTCCAGTTCAGCAGCTGATTCCAGTAAATCAGCGTTACTCTGGATGGAGCAGTTGATGGGGAAGTCTGGTGAGATGTCATTTGTTCTGAAAAAAAAGGTCCCTGTTCAGAATATCTGTGCTCAATACCTGTATTAAATACACACACTGCCTAAATTCCATACCTGTATCACCTATATTCAATAACTTTTGGTTAGTTGCTAACCCAGCCCCAAATTCTTAGCCATGACAATTAAGTCTATAAACTATCGACATTAAAAAATAAGTCTCTTCCACGTTTTTTAATGCTTTCTCTCATCATTTCTTTTTTTTTTGTTTTTAATTGCTTTTCCTGCTTATAATTTTCCTAGCTACAGTGGGCATGGAGATGGATTATGCATCCCTTTCATCCTATTTACAGCAGCAAGAGCATTTCAGCTGCTGGCCTGGCCTGCTGCCAGACACAAGCAATACATTCCCTCCAGTTGCAAGCAATAAAATTATTCCGTCTTTGTTATTCCGCATTTCTCTGGATCTTTTTGAAGGACATCAATGATTCTCTGCCAGCGTCGCCGTGATGAATTATATGCTCTAGCTGTTCAGCACAAGGGTGAGCTATACAAAGCCACAGGAGAATTAATTTTAAAAATTATCCACGAGTTTTTATCGTTCTTTTTTTTTAAAACCAATTTCATAATAGTAATGCAAATATAGCAAAAATATTAAGTGCAATTAGGGAGACAATCAAAATGACAGCATTCACAGCCTGGCTGTTGGGGGTTTTTTTTGCACGCTTCATGCCTATTTTCTGGGATTTTAGGATCAAAAAATTAAAAGCTCCGTTCAGCTTGGGAGACTTCATGTCGGGTCTGTGCCTCCCAGGTGCTCTCATGCTTTTGAAATACCTGTTCCCATCTCTTCTTTTGCTGGAGTTTATGCTGTGTTTGTGATTGCATTCCAGCCTGCTCATTAAACTGCATTTTCCAGAAATTTAATTAAGCATATTCAGAGTTCTTGTGCACAATGCCTAAGTCAGTTTTGAGAATCTCTCAATTCTGACTTTCATAATCGTACTTTTTTTTTCTTTTTCCACTGAAACGGATACAATTTTTCCTTCTGAAATTTTTATTCTGGAGCGATGGCAATCTTTTAATTTCAAGTGCATTCAAACTGCATTTTCTCACTTATTTCCTTGTATTTTATTGTGAAGAAGGTGAGGGGTTTTGCCTGAAAACATCACCTTGGGAAACAACACTGGTACCTTGTCCTGTTTTCTCCAGTTTATTTTTATTTAGTGGTCCATGAGTGGTAATTTTGAACATTCAGAACTGCAGAGACATGTTTCTGTCAAGTGCAAACGTGTCTCCATTTCCTGAATGTCCCATTTATGCCTTCCCGTGCAGGCAGACTAGAACTTTTGTATGAAATGTTCTGTTTTATTCTGCTCCACCCAATTTTTTATGTCGCTTTCATCACTGGGCTATCAAAACATATTCCATCAGTAAGCTCAGTGAGGCAAGAAAGATCTGCTACTTGTTTCTTTTTCCTTTCCTCTCTCCAGAAAGGTTAGTTGACTACATTTGTTATTAAATTTTAGCATTAGGGAAAAAAAAAGAAAAAGCAGTAACTTGGAGTAATAAAAGCCGAGGTTTAGAAACCCTCCTCCTGCTTTGGGGAATAAAACACAACAGCCTTTTTAGATTAAGGCTGCCCCTTAGTTCAAGCTTATTTGCTAGTTTTACACAGTACTGTTATCCTTTTGTCAGTATAATCCATTTTGCTGGAAGTTCTGGGGTATTTATCATTGGGTATCACACCTTTTTTTCTTTCCTGCTGGTTCAGGGGAGTTTTGGTTTTAAATCACATCACACAGAGTGCATGTGTGTGTGTATATGTGTATATATATATATATATATACATAAAAGCTGTCATTTTCTGGTTATTCACCTAGCTTCCCATCCTGCTTAAATATTAAAGCAAAGAGTATTTTTTTTCCCCTTTTGCTGCCACCTCTGATCAGTCCTTACTCACAGACGTTGCTCTGACCCAAACCCTCTTTTTTAAACCCCAGATGACTTTAAGTGCCTGAAGCCACCCAAGGCTTCCCTCGGCCCCGCTCCTCGGAGGGGTTATGAGGGGGGAAGGCTCATTACCACACAATGCCTTCACCCCCCGCTCTCCCGGGCGCCTCTCTGGCCTTGCACTGGCCGCCTCCTTCGATTAAACCCCCCAGTCCCCACAAGCCCAAGGGACCGCTGCCTTCATCCCCAACCCTCCTCGGGCGCCTCTCTGACTTTCCACTGGCCGCCTCCTTCAATTAAACCCCCTCGTCCCTCTAAGCCCAAAATGGCGGCGACAGAGCGTTGAGCCCCCCTCAATCCCCCCTCAGGCGCCTTAACCAATCAGCAGCCGGAATGTAGCCTCCCACCAATGGGGAGAGAGGGTGCCCCCCGGCGGCTCCTACCAATCAGCCGCCGCGGACCGTCAAACTGGCAGGACGGCTAGCCAATGGCTGACGAGGAGAGCCCGCCTCCTCCTCCGCGCCGTTGCCGGGGCAGCCGCTGGCAGTCGCCCCTTTAAGCGTAGCGCGGCAACCGCCGCCGCGTCCGCCCGGCGGGCGGGCAGGTACCGACGGTGGGGCCGGGCCGGGGCTGGCGGGGGGCGACGGGGCCGTCGTGAGGCGGAGGGAGGAGCTGGAGGGTGTGTGCGTTTTATCCTGGGGGCTGCTGGAGTTCGGAGCGGGCCTAGGCCTCGCCTTGAGGTGGGGGGGGCAGCCGCGGGTGTTACTCCCGGCCTGGCGGTGTGGGCCGGGCTGACCGGCTGGGGCCTGAAGCGAGTAGCGGGGAGGGCGGTAGGGGCCCGGGGGCGGGGGGAGTTGAGGTTTGGAGGGGCCTCCTCCCCGGCAGCGGGCCCTCTGCGGAGCCCTGCGTGTGGGGGAGCTCGGGCCCTGCCCTCAGAGACCGTTTGGCGCAGGGTTAAGTGACTGCGCTTGAGACGTGGAGTCGTTAGTTTTTTTTAAAAAGTGGTAATTAAAAATAGTATTCTATATGTTCTTCAAGGACTTCTCCCCAGTGAAGGACAATCCCTCGCTTGCCGTTTGGGAAGGGGAGAGGCGGTTTCAGGAATGGCCAGGCTGAAGGAGGTAAGGGTGCTCACACCAGAGGGGTCGGTGGAAATGAGACCGACAGCCAGAGCCTCCTCCCTACGGGATTTACAAACATAATCCCTTGTCCTGGTGGCAGGGCTGCCCTGCGTATTACCTGTTGGGACTGCCCTTTCCTCAGCTCTCACCTGGGACTTACAGCAACTTTTTCCTTTTGAGATCTGCTGCTGAAAGTGACTCTTAAGTGTTGCTGGCACGGAGTCAGATAAGTTTAAACATTGGCTTTTAAAAGCATATAGCAGTCTAATTCACCAAAAGCTGTTAAACCTAAAAGAAATGCATATATTAAGTCAGCAGCTGCAGAAAGTTTTCCTAATAAAATACTTGTTCCTCGCTGAGGCCCCATCAGTGCATATGTTTTGATGTGATACAAGTAAATTCTTTTGCTCCTTCCTTTTCTAGAAAAACTACAGTATTTGCATGTGGAAAAGATGGGTGGAGGAAGAGGAGGGAGATAAATTCCTGTTGAAGTTAATGTCCTTAAGTTTAGCACTTTAATAATTTGGACTGGTGCTTTTTTACTTGTCTGGAGCTGGCTCTTTCTCTCCCAGAATAGGTGGAAAAACCTGAGTGGACCGTTAGAGGTCAGCATTTGTGCTCAGGAGTGTCATATGGTGACCAGTAAAGGCATTGAGCTTCTTCTGGTTTTAGAAGGGTATTACAACTGAAAAGGACTTAAAAAGTTTTATGAGTGCATTAAAGAACTTGTATTACAGAACTAAGCTCTGGATGTACTGCGAAAGAAGAATTACTGAGTAATTTCCCTCTCTCTCTATTGCTTAATAGTTCAATTTCTGTTTCTGTGATTTACTTAGGATAGGGAGACAGTATTCTGTCACCTTGCAGTTGTGTTGTGTTCTCTATTTTGTTTGGTTTTTGCAATAATCATGTTTCAATACAAAATATGCAATTAATAGCAATAGTAGAAGTTGCTGAAGTGTAGGAATATGAAATTCCGGGAAGAAAACTATTTCTAAAGTTTGTACGAGTCCCAGATTTACTTCATTCATTCTATACTGATGGGATCTCGACACAGGAGGCTTCTAAAAGCACGTGTGGAGCTTTTGGGGGGAGGGATTTGGGGTTTTAGTGGTGGTAGGAGCTTAGCAGACCCACTGCTAACTCCCAGTGTTTCACTCCTCTCAAACTTATTAAATGTACCAGGGGAAAACAAACATCTTTGTGGATCTTACATGAGTTGAACTTATTTTATAATCAACTCAAACTGGTTGGTAACAATTGAAAAGTCAGTGAAGCAAAGCGTTTCTTAATTAGACAGTCCTTAGGCTAAGTGAAGTAAAACTCCAATATCCTAGTGATTCATTCCTTCTCAAGATAAACTGTGCATTTTTTATGTTAATCAAATTAACAGAAATGGTGGAAAACCTGGGTTTGGCAAGACTTGACAGATTAAGGTTTCTTGTTCTGTATGGAAAATTTGATAATATTACCAATTTATAAAACTGAAAACCATTTGAAGATTCAGAAAATGGTTTTGGTGATTTCTCAGGGGATCTTTTATCAGTTCACCCTTTTCAATTTGTTTTCAGTCCATTGCTTTTCCAAGTACTTCCAGAATGCATCACAAATTACTGTTCATTTACGTTGCTGTATGTCGAGATGGTACTTAGCAAAATACTCTCAAAAGTGGGGAATATCCAGTAGAGACATGATGGATAATTCTGATCCTCCAGTTCTTCCAATTTGTCTATTTTAAATACAGGGAGTTGTGAAAAGCATTCTTCAAAAAATTATTGCCTCTTTTGGGACTTTAAAGTAACTGATCAGCTTTAAGTCTGTAAATGAAAGTGAGTGTTCTTGTTTTTTGTATGTAATTAGACACCTTGATGATTTAACTGTAGGCACTTCTTTTTTTTTCCCCATTTGTTTTCATCGGTACTTGTTTTCTTCTCAAGAAGAAGTCTGTGTGTGATGATTTCTGTCTGTCCTTCTGTGTTCTGAAGGCAGCCAACATGTGGGTGTACCTTGGCTCTGTTTACACTGTTGAAGATGCTTGCCCCATGGCGTAATCCCTGCCTCCCTCCCCACAAGGGCTGGGCTGACACCTCCAGATGTGCTGGTTATCAGCATCCCAGACCCTCCCTGGCAGGAGGATGCTGACAGTTTCTTTCCTCCTTGCCTTGGGTCCCTTTGGGATCATTTTTGTATCCCTGTTAACACTCTGTGCACCTTGCTCTTTATTCTTTGTGATTCCACATTACATCTGGATTTATTACACGTGGTGTGTTTCACATACGTTGAGTACTTGTTCTTTCCTTTATATATAGCTGCCTATAAAACTGGTTTTAGCCAGCCCCCAAGGCTGCATCCCCTTGATGACCAGTAATTAAGCACAGGAGAGCTGTTATGGGGCCTAGTATTGTCCTGTGTCTGTGCTCTCTGGCCCCTGCAGCCACCCCATCCCTGCATTTTTGCAAGGGTTGTAGGTCATATAAGAATAACTACTTATTATTGCTGTCTATAAATGTAACAGTAGGTGCTAGGCAATTGTATAAAACAAAAAGCTAACCCAAATTAGATAAGTTCCCTGGTTGTTAACTAATTGTGTTGCAGCTGCATAAGCTATAGCAAAGCTTCATGCACTCAAGAGGAGTTCAGACAAAGTTTTGGTCCTGGAAATATGAAGAAGCTGTGGACAGTTTGGTCCAGAGAAGGGCCACCAAGGTGATCAGAGAACTGGGAAGCCTGACATAGGAAGAAGGACAGAGAGAACTGGGTTGGTTCAGCCTCGAGGAAAGAAGGCTCAGGGGAGAGCAGTATTTATACAGTGGCTATGAAGAAGATGGAGATTCCCTTTTTATATGGAATCACATGGCAAAACCCAAGGGTAATGGGTACAAGTTACTCCGGGGGACATTCTGATTGGACAGGAGAGGAGAATTTTTCACCATGAGAACTGTCAGCCACTGGAATAATCTCCCCAGGGAAGAGGTGGATTCCCCATCAGTGGACACTTTTAAGATTCAGCTGGACAGGCTGCTTGGATGTTTTGTCTGGGCTGTGTTTTTGCCAAGAAAGGTTGGACCAGATGATCTTTGAGATCCCTTCTAACCTGGCATTCTATGATTTTGAGTCCATGAATGACATCACTACACTCTGTGGGTTACAAACACAGCTACTGTTTTGACACTTTATTTTAGTTAGGATGACTGTAATAATATGAGGTCTGTGTTACAGCCTTTCAGAGTGCTATTTTTATCTTTTATATTATTTTAGTGTTTTAATATAAATTTATTAGGTTGGTTGGTGTTTAGTTGGGTTTTTTGAATTCCCTGAGATTCTGTCCTGTGGAGACAGAACTGATGCAGTCTTGCCTCTGCACCCTCTAGAGAACAGGTTGTCCCCAAAATTCTGCCTGTGTTTCAGTTTGGGCTCAGTTTGCTCTTTCAGGGAGTGAAATAACATACGCTCTGCACAGATGTTTGTGAGGCCAGGACTTAGGAGAGGAGTTGCTTGGGAGCAGTGATGCACCCTGATAGGTTCTAAAAATCTTACATGATCCTAATTTAGCACTCAGACGTGTCTGAGGGTCTTTGTTACGCTTAAACGAGATAATACAATATTATCTGTGTTCTTTTGAAGAGATACAGATACAACACAATGTTATCTGTATATTCTTTTGAAATATCTTTAATAACTGCATTATTTCAGAAGAAAAAAGACCCGTTGTTACTGATTGTTTGAATGTTTGCTATAACTGGTACCTTCCAGCACGTGTTTAGCAATCTCTAGACAAGTGATCTCAAGCGTAGCTTGTTTCCTTCCCAGGCTTTGCAGTGTAATTTTAGTTTTCAGCAGAATCCTCTCTGACATAAGTTTTAGGCACGTGATTTATTTGGAAATACTGAGGTGTTTAAAAAAGTGTTATTTTGCAAAGTTACTCCCCAAGTAAAATCAGACGCTCTCCTCCAAATAATTCAGTGTTAATTTCCCAGCAGCTTTACCAGTTTAGGAATATTTCTTCCTCTAATTCCTTCTGTGTAGATGATGAGGGGAAACGGATCCCAGTCACTGGAGGCAGAGTTGTGCTGGCAGGGAACTGGGGCAGGAAGCTTGAATTCAGAACAAAACCTGACTTGGCAGCTGAGATTTCTGTGCCATCCTGCATGTATAGACAGGGGAGTAAAAGGCCAAGAAGCATTAGATGTTTATTTTATTGGGTAATAATACAGTGAAAAAATTACAGCTCATTCACGGGTATGTTGTAAAAGAGTTTGGATTGAAAGGTGCTCAAATTTGGGGGTGTAGTTTGCTTTACCTTTTGGAAATGGACGAGGAGCTTATGTCAGTCAAGAGGCAGAGCTGGGCTCTGGTGCAAGTGCTGTTTATTCACCTGGTGGATGCTTGATGTCCTGAAGTTGGGGTGAAGTGAGATAGATGGTGAAATGAGCTTGAGAGCTGTGAAGAGTGGTAAGAGAGAGAGGAAAAACACAGGAGGCTGAGTGTAGGCAGAAAAATACCTCCTAAACTGAGGAGAAAATTGTTTTCACTGGGAAGGTGAGGAAAATTTTAGATATATTTGCTCCGTTACATTCTCAGGAAGTGTCTCCAAAAATGAAAATAAGGTGATTTCTTTACTGTGAGATGAGGGGATTTCTCAGTTTACAGCAGAAAACAGGCTGCAGGAGCAGCATTTCTCAGTTTATCCCTGCTGCAGATCCAGTGTTTACCATATACGAGCTCTGTGGTCTCTCTTATCAGATATTAAAAAACCCAAAAGGCTACATTTGCATTTTCCTCTAAAGCACGTGACACAGTGTGAGCTCCTACCGGTCCCTGAAGGCACGAAACACGGGGTGTTGTAGGGAATGAGAGAACTTTGTGGGGCAAAGACTGTGATACGTGTGTACGGCCTCGTTAGCCCTTGGGGACAGAATGTGGGAAAACTGATTTTCAGGCCCTTTATGTAACATTGGAGTGTCAGAAATTGAGACATGGGAGATTTAGTCAAATTCAACAAGTATCTCCATTCTAGTAGTACAAATACATTGGTAATTTATTTGGTTAAAAGTTTTGAAGTATATTTAAATTATTTTCCGGAATAGCATCAAGCTTTCACTTGTCTTCTGTTCTGTTTTCCAAATGCTTCTTTTCCCCTCTCTCTTATTCTAGATTTAGCCATGTTAATTTTCTGCTTTCTTTTTGGGGATGAAGTGTAATACCAGTAGTGTTCCTAGAATGATGTCTGTCATGCTTAATATAAGCAATAAGGCTAATGTAGCACAGCACATGGCAGAAGGTTGTATATAATTTTGTATAATATATAAGGATATATATTATTTTGCAGGGTTTTTTTCCCTACCTTTCTTAACTACACAGCAAAAACCCATTCTCACTTTTTTTGGTGTCTCTGAATTGTTACAGAAAAAATGCATTCTGAAGGGTAACTCCTGCTTCCTGAACTGAGCCCCAAAGATCTCGCGCTGTGGAGATGAAGATGATAAATCCAAGGAAATAATCCAACTGCTGCCACTGAAAGGTCCTTTGTGTCAACATGAACAGTCTTTGAGGGGGAAAAAAAAAATTTGGAAAGCGGTTAAATCTGAAAAAAATGGGAGAAAGAGTCAGAAGTCCAGATTCTGAACACGAGAGGAAATCGGACGGGGATAAAAATAGCGACTCGTATTATTCCGATGAAGATAATGCCTCTCGTTCCTCTGGCCCCTCGCCAACACTGAGCTATCCCTCTACGAGCCACGAAAAAAGAGATCACAAACCCCAAACTTCAAACAGCCTCGTGCACTACCAAGGTAGGTAGATACAGAAACTGCTGCTTTGTCACTCCTCTGATGAGTTAATTGTCTTTGAAAGCCAAAATAAAAGTGGGAAGCTACCATCGTGAGAAACTATAAATAAGGTTCAGGTGAATTATGCTGCAGGTAAACTGTAACTGCTCTGTTGAAAACTGAAACCAAGCTGTTCTTGCATAAGGGTGATTTTTGATCCTTTTTGGAATTAATCATATTTTTGTTAACGAGTGAGTGTGGCTGTTCTCCCAGCTTTTTCTTGAATCAGGCTCATCTTCTCTTTCTGTCTTTGACAAAAAGGCTCGAGGACAAGGACTCAAGGCAAGTCCTTACTCCGTGGTCAGTAAGAGAGAGACAATTGTTAATGTTTCTTGATGATATCAAGTTATCTAAGATACCCCTAAAGGTATCTCTCTTGTGGAAGTCCAGTTGATTGAGTTTTATGGTGTAATCCTGGGTACTTTGAAAAAACAAAGACAAGAGAGAGAAAATGTGTTTGGTGAAATCGAATGTGAAATTCAAGAAGTTTTTCCTGGTCCTTCCACGAGGGTAAAATACCTCTGATTTGAGATGAAGTAGCTCCACGTTGAGCTCCCTTGCACAAACCTCACCTCCGTAAGGTGTTTCCTTGGTTGAGAGGATGGGGAGTGGAACATCCCTACAAAAAGGCAGAGAATGGTTACACAGATCCTGGGCTGGAGGAGGGATGTGCAGCTTCTCTGCCGTGCTTTGACAGCTTCTTCTAAATATTTTCACATGTTTTCTGGTGAAGTCAGGACATATCCTGCCTTTCTCAAGCAAGTCTTCGGTGTCGTTTGTAAGACCTGGATACTGTGTGATTGATTTGGTCAACATTGTCATCTTGAGTTTGCCAGGACATAAAACCCTAAATACTGAAGATGCCCAGGGAGCATATCTCTTCAGACCCTTGGCAGGGGTGGCATCTTCTCCAGAGCAGTCATGGGTTAGCTTTCTGGGAAACCAAAATTTGGGCTATTTAATTTGGAGGGGGGCAAATGAGTGACTACTTCTTTGATTCCATAGCCAGAACTGAACACAATTACTCTGTGAATGTCGTAAAAGACACTAATTCCCCAAAAGTGCAAACTTGGTATTGGAATATTCTGTTCTGCCCTAAATGTTGAGAAATTCCAGATGGGGCTGGAAGTGTAGGGTTAATGAGAATTCCCTTAGCTGGGGATAGGAGTGGCATCATTCCTGCAGTGCATTTCTTGAAGAATTTTTTCACACCTGAATGTGACATAATTGGTTTTTGTAAAGGAAAAAAAAACCCTACCCTTCTTTTTGTTTGCCCAAGCTGTGGAAAAAATGAGCATTAAGCAGAAAATGGATGAGTATTTGTGCAAAATGTTCAGTGAAAATTACAAGAGAATATTTTAAAGCTGGGGTTGTGGGTTTGGTGGGGTTTTTTTTTACAGTAACATATTTTCTGTAGGATAGAAACGTGGTGAAAGGGGAGGAAGAACCTGCTGTCCCAGGGACAGGCTGTGTCCCAGCTTTCCAGCCTGAATGAGAAGCTGCTGCTCAGTGTCTTTCCTCTGAGCACTGTACCTTAATGAATTCTGCATTCTCCATACAGTCAGTTGTTTTAAGAGAGATTTTTTGGTGAATTATAAGCTTCATTCCTTGAGAGTGGCTTGAGAGGCAAGTAAGACAGACACAAAATGTTTAGCTTTTATCCGTGGGGATGATGATAAAATAATAATCTCAGTAGGAATGCGGGTGATGCACGCTGCTAATCAAATAAGGGTGCTGTGTGGAAAAATAACTTGTGATACAAGAATAAATTATTAAGGGAAGAACTGAATTTTCATGGGGTTTATCATTTTGCTTTGGAGGCTTTTTTGCACTGAGCCTTTGGAATCTGGTGTTTTGTCTGTGAGCGTGGCAGCTGGATCTGAAAATACTCCTGCATTTGTCTGAGAGAATTACATCTTGCATAATACATAACCAGCTAAGGCTCGGCTAATTGTTACCATTTTAAAGGCATTTGATAATATTGTATGCATAAGAGTACAGTATTTCTAAAACATTTTAATAAACATCATCAAATATTAACCAAATAGGAGTGTTATTTCTGCTGCAGTTTGCAGATGATTACTTTACAATGGTCCTATGTTGATGGCTGCAAATATTATCTCTTACAGTAGATCACAAAGATAAATCTCCATTTTTTTATCTATCAAAAGGAACATAAGTATCACATATATGCCTTTTATTGTCTGCTTTGAAAGCTGCAATCTCTGCATTGTAAAATTGTTTCAGGCCAGAGCTGTTCCAAGAGGGATGTCTTGAGCAGCCAAATTGCATTGTCTTACAGTAAACATGCTTTTTCTTTTTTTCCCCTCTCTCAGCCACAAAGAAATTGGGTTCCAAATACGCACCCAGCAAGAGAGGGCCGCAGTGGGGCTTCCGCTCCCAGAGCCTCACCAGGGATTCTCCTGCCAAAGAGATAGATCTTGTTACCAAAAGGGTCCTTTCTGCCAGGCTGCTGAAAATCAACGAGCTCCGAAACGAACTGACCGAACTCCACATCAAACTGGACGAGGTGCAGAAGGAAAACAGGGCGCTGAAGAGGCTTCAGCACAGGCAGGAGAAAGCCTTGAATAAGTTTGAAGATACGGAAAATGAAATCTCCCAGCTCCTGGCTCGGCACAACAACGAGATCCGGATATTAAGGGAGCGCCTGAGGAAATCTCAGGAGAGAGAGCGGGCGGCCGAGAGACGGCTGAAGGATTCAGAAGAGGAGCTGTACAGAACAAAAACAGTCTTGCAGAAACTGAAAAAGCTCTCTGCAGATAAGCACCTCGCTGAAAGAGATGACCTGGCGAAGAAACTGGCCTGTGCGGAGAGCAGGCTGGAGGAGAGCGAGAAAAGAATTAAGGTGAGATGACCTTCTTTTCATCAGAAACTGCTCTGGGTATTTCTTACCAGAGGGAGCTTCATGAATTGTATTTTTTCACAGTTGTGGAGCAAATAGACAAACATCCTTTTTTTTTTTTTAACTTTTACACATAAGTAGCATCAAATAAATTATTTCCGAGGTGATTATATACTTAGTAATTCTGCATTCAAATTTCTATTTACAAATGAAGTATATTTTGTCAGAATATACAACTGTGGACATGTGCTTTTAAGTGGTTTTATAACTAGTAATAACCTTTCAGAAATGCATGCAGCTGTCACACAACTTCATGCAATCTAATTTATCGTCTTGGAGGGAAAGCACTTGTTAAATATTTTCTGGGTATTTAGGGAACTCTAATCTAAAATTCTAAAAACCATACAGAGAGTAATTCTCTTTCAGTTTGGTGAGCTGCATTCATGCAGTGTCTGATTGCCCACTATTCTGCATATCTGAGAGCTAAGCTAAAATTGCTAAAATTATAGCAATTTTTTTAATAGCAAAATGAGCGGTGTTTTTACGGGTATGCATTTGAAGAGTTTTGTGCCATATATTTTAAATTTGTTCAGCAGAAACGTTTACATTTTTGTAAACATGTCTAAAAACTCATCTTGTTTAAAAATAATTGTGTTAACACCATGAAACTGTTGGTAGTTGTATGTGATACTATTTTTAGCTGAAATTCTGTTGATTGTTAAGATGATGTTAAAATTTAGTCTCTATATTAGTAATTAAACCTAAATTCCATTACAAAGTTAATAGATCTAGAAATCCAAAGGGTTAATCTGGAAACTAAGCTTTCATAAAGTAAATATCAAAAATACCAAGATATAAATTGCTGAGTACTTAAATCACCTCACCCTATAGTGTCACCATCTGGCACCTGTAGTTTTATCATCAGGTATTTCAACACTTGTAGTGCTGGATCATGTGAAAACGAATCCTGCTCTAAAAAGTAAGGCATTTTCTACTTCTTTTTCCCCTTCTCTCATCATCACAGGTTCACTTGAAACACCCCTTGCAGTGTGAGAACACGTAAAGGAAAGCACAATCACAAATTCGTTTCTAGTAGAAAGGTTTACATTTTTTTTTCTTATTTTCTTCTAATCCTGCACTTTCAGGGAGGTATTTTTTTTTCTTAACCATCAATTTAAGATTTGTCTGAAGAGAGGGGGAGGTGTGCTGTGCCGAGAACCTTGCAGGAGGCAGTGTGTGTTCCCCTTGTGTCCTCAGATCACCTCTCTGTTCTCCAGGAGGATGAGCTGCAGCGTTTGCAGGTGCTCTGGCTGCCTCCTCAGAGTTAGGATTAAGGGTTTAGAGGTATTTAGCATTACAGCAATGGTGAAGCTGATATCTGGATCCAAAAAGCTGGGGGGGTTATTCTATTGAAGTAATTTGACTGCTAAAAGAGTCCTTGAGTTATTTAAAAAAAATATTTTGTTTTAATTGAAGGATCTGGAAAAAAATCTTGAATTAAGCGGTAGCAGTTTTCAACGAGAGTTACATTCCAAGAAAAAAAAGATGTACGAGGCTCAAGAGGAAAAGAGAGTTCTCCAAGAAGAGCTTAATCAACTCACTCAGAAGCTGAAGGTAAAACGGGCAGCGGTGCAGGCTGGTCACTGCTCTGGCATTTTATCTTTGGCACTATCTGTAAGCAGGTTGGAATAGTTTCCCTGTGCTTGCAGTCTCTGGAGCATACTTAATGGTACCACGGAGGAGTTCTTTCCCTGCTTTACATTGAAATGGTCCATGCTCTGACCCTACAGTGTTTGTAACAGGAATGTCTCTGTGTTAATCATTATTGTTAGCACTAGTTAAGAAAAGCAAAATTGAGTACATAACCCAAGCATCGCCATTAGACCGTGAGATCTACTGGAAAATTAGGTTTTGAAGGCTTGATTTTTAAAATGAAATCTGCTATGAATGTTTGCAGTGCAGTGGGTTTGTGTAAAGATGAATTTCATCTATTTCTGATATCCATGTGTGTTGCTAAATTTGTGCAAAGGTTTATTTGCACTCCCCCACCCTGTCGTTGCCCAAATTCTAAATTTAAGGACTGAAAATGCTGTTATGTTCAACCTAGGAGGTTTATCTTTAGGGAAAAAAAATAAGATTTGAAGTAAAGTACTTGAAACCCCAAGTCTCCTACTTCTATACTGGAGATGCACCAGTTTACCCCCTTACTCGCTATCAAGCAAGTAGCAGTAGCATTAATTACTCAAAATCTTAATTATTTGGAGTGTTTTAAGCCTGATACATTAGTGGAGAATTTAATATTTTGAGTTTTTGGGGGGAGAAGTTTTATCTGCTTTCTTATAGCATAGGAAAAGTTAGGAATGTGCTTATTCTTAAAACATTGTACATAACTACTGATTGCTTTACTCTGTTTCTATTTACAACATGTATTTTTAATTTAATTTACAGCTTTGCTAATGACTAGTAAATGAAACATTAGTAACTTACTCTGTTATTCCTACCTTTTTCACTCACAGGAAAAAGAAAGAGAACTTGAAGCAAAAAATATATATGCTAATCGCATGTTGAAGCTGTCCCCGAGAAAAGATGTGGATATTATCCAAAGAAAAAGAGGTAACTTAAAGAAATAAAAGCAGAAAAATTAATAGGGGTGCTTTTAAATTGCTCTGCTGGGTTATATGGTTTGTGCCATTCAGTGTTTGACCCTTCAGCTGCCTGGTCAGGAACGTTTATTTGCCTCTTCTGTAACTGCAGCAGGACCCAAACCCACAACTTCATCAAAAAACATCCTGAGCTCCTTTCACAACAGCTGTTCCTGGGTGAGGGAGCAGGAAAAAAACATTTAGTAAATTCTCTAATAGATCATCGATAATGTGTACACGACAATAAATTACAGAGGCTTTAAAAATATGGCTCCTTTCAAGCAGCTGTTCCTGGGTGAAGGAGCAGGAAAAAAACATTTAGTAAATTCCCTAATAGATCATAGATGTGTATATGACAATAAATTACAGAGGCTTTAAAAATATGTAACTTCCCTACTATCAATATTTTGGTTATGCTTTTTATTTGTTTTTTACTAATTTGAATGTACTGTCTGTGAGATGAGCTGCAATTTTTTTTATTTCCCTCGAAGAATACACGTCCCAGAACACAATCTCCTAAAAGTATCAGGGCAGTGATTTCTCTGGGTGTGACAAGCAGCCTCAAGCCTTATGCTACCCACACCAATGTGTGTGTATCCGTGTGTGTGTGTGTGCATTTAGCTCATTTTCACTGGAGCAGTAGAATCTACTTGTCAGAAGCAGCAGGAATTTATGGGACTGTTTTAAATATTTAATGGCAGCCTTTCAAACAGTTTGTCTGCTGCTTGCTTTATTATAGATACTCTACTATTATTCCATTTTAGGTTAGGATTTTGAAACATGTCATTCCACAGAGATAAGCGTATGTGTTTTCAAAGATGCAAATAAGTGAATTTTAATTTTATGAGTTTGCTTCTTTACATGTAGCTTCTGTGACAAGCAGTGAGATGAGAGAGATTTTGTGAGGATTTTTTTTAGCAAATATTCAGTATACGATAATGGCTTTATAAGTAGCTTTAAGGTGGGTTTTTTATTTTTTTCAGTAGGAGTTTTGCATGCCATTTTCTCTTAAATTAACTTTTACAGATGCTGAAGACAACTATGTGAAACTTGCCAATACTTTCCACTTCCATTGGCTCTGATACTGTCTTTTATGTTTGCTGCAAATCATTAAAAATGAGAGATAGGGGATGTAGTGGGGTATTTTCAAGTGAAAACATTATTTAATTAGTTTGTATTTTCTCCAGCCAACAACCAAAATATTAAAAAAGGAGCCCAGCTCACAAAAGCTGTCCAGACCAGTGGATACTTCTCCCCGGTGGAATTTCTTCCAGAAGCAGAACATGTCAGTGGTGATGCAATACACAAGAAAGAAGGAATTCTTCCTAAAATAGTGAGTTCCATAAAAAATTGAGGCTTGTTCCAGGTAACTCACCTGTCAGACTGAATGTTTAATGCAGAGCTTATATTTCAGCTTATATTTATATTTTATATTAGATGTGTAAATATTACAAATATAAATAGATAGAAAATGAAATTTAGAAAAGTATTCTGATCTTTAACAGAAACTCTGCCCTTACAGAAATATCATACTCTGTTTTTGTGATGCTAAGTTCATCATATTTTAGGTCTTACTGATAATTATTAATTCAATTTGGTTTTTTTCTCTGCCACTGTGATTTCTTTGAATTTTTTAAGACTTCATTTTGGTTTTCTCCCCTTTTCTTTGTTTGTAATGCTTATTTGAGCAATCTGCTGTAACCGCGCTGGCCGCCTTGTCTTTTTGCTTTGGTCTTAATTAGGGTTTCTTTTACTTTCCAGATTTATTTCACAACGCATAAATCTAACACTTCCTCTTATTGTCAGGGTGCTGGTATTTCTTCTGTCGTTTTTCCAGCTTTGTGAATACGGTTGGATTCTTTTTGTTGTTGTTGTTTTTCCATTTCCCTTATTATTATAAAATAGTGCCATTAGAAGCTTTGCTAACGCTTCTGGGACCTCAGGCTAAACCCAGAGAGCTTTGTAAGGTATTGGAAATCCCAATGAGACAGGTTCTGGTAGGAATTGTACAAATTCTGATGGCATTAGGTAAGGAGTATTGTCAGAAATAATGCCCTGATTATGCCCTTGACTGGCTTCCTGTTAGGACTGAAGCTTTTTCATGTCTGTTTGTATGTTCTCTCTTCCAAAAGCCTTCTGTAAGTTGGGATGTATTTAATGTGTGCATTCCTCCAGCATAGACTTGAGTATGGAACTGCACAAGAGCCACTTGTACCTTCTGTTAGGACTGAAGCTTTTTCATGGCTGTTCTCTTCATATATTCTCTTTTCCAAAACCCTTCTGTAAGTTGGGATGTATTTAATTGTGCATTCCTCCAGCATAGACCGAGTATGGAACTGCACAAGAGCCACTTGTACCAAGTCTGTGTCGTCTTACAAACCCCTTTAGCTTGTTTATGGTGTTGTTTTATGTGACATAAGTTAGATTTAGGGGTAGCCTGGCCTTTCTTCACTTTTCCAAGTCAAGCATTTTGAATACCTGGCTGCCATCTCTTCATCCAGTTGTTTGGTTTTTTAATATAAAGATGGTAATTTTTAACATGAAGGGAAAATACTTGACGTTGTTTTGGCTAATAGTTATAATGTTTTTGCTCATTAAGTAGTAACCGTTTCTCTTAGAAGTTTATTTTAATCTAGAAGTTTATTTTACTCTAAAATAAGCACAAGCTTCAAAGTTAGAATCCACGTGTTGGATTCCATTGGCTTTCTCTTCACTTTGTTGCCGCTACTTTTCCGTGTTAGTGATTTTTACTGCTGCTGTTAATATCTTTTCTGCCAGTTTTTCTCCTTTTAAATGTGCATTTATACTCACTAGCTGAATTTTTCAGCCAAGATTAATCCTTTCTCTCCTGCTATTTGTTACATGATACTCCATAACTGTAAGTACCCCTGTGAAACTCTGAATCTACAACCCACTCGAGAGACTAAAAAGATCAGATTGTGGAAATAGAGGGTAACCAATTGCTTGCTTGATAAAAGAATAAGGTGGTGGGGTCTGGCCTTCTATTAAAATCCCTGAAAAAGACAACTTCTGGAATAATAATTCTGCTTTATGACATTGGAGCTGCAACTTCCCTGACGTGTGCGGTAGGGAACGGAGTTGATTGTCTATTCATTTTGTTTCTGGTGCCTAAAACTATGTTAGAGCTGAGAAGATTTCTTTAGAGCCAAACCCCTGGGTTGTTGAAGCTGGTTTGATTTAGATGATTTGCTCGTTTTTGTTTAGCTGTAAGAATGTGATTTCAGAGAAGTTCATACGATTTTGTTTTATTGATTATTCCCCACCCCAAGTTTCATTTTTGTATTAATTGATTTCAGGAAAAAGAAACTCAAGACAAAGAACGGAAAGAGCAAGCAGACCTCCTTCGACAAGAGCAAGAGAGGGAAAGGGAAGAGAAATTGAAACGTTTTCAGGAAATGCAGGCTTTAGAGGAGAGAGTTCAAAAACTACAGGACGGTAAGGAAATGGGCAGCTGAAGCCTGCAGTACCCCATAGAATGCTAATGGAGTGAGGCTGCTGGTTCCCTGGGAGAAGAGCAAAATGATTTTGCATAGATCACTACAGTGGAAAATTATTTTCAGTTGTATTATGCAAAGAGAATCAGAAAGAAATAGGGGATACGGAGTAATCTGTGTCCTGTGCTCAGCTGTGATTAATATGCAGCGGCAAAAGAATGCTGTCTGCTAAAAAATATTGAAGCCTGAGAGATTTTGCTTTACAAAAGCAGGATGGCATGGCAGGTAAACACTGGTGGTATCTCTGGGGTGCTAGATGGTATCCAGGTAGATTTTTATTGTTATAGAACAGATGTGCTTTCCTTAATACAACCTGTTTTTTCAGTACGTATCTACTTAAAATCATAGAATCATTTAGGTTGGAAGCTGGTATAGAACAGATGTGCTTTCCTTAATATGACTTGGTTTTTTAGGCCATATCTACTTGTATCATTTGAAATTGTAGTTTCTCTTTCCATTTGTGTTTACCTGAATCACTTGGTGGGTGAGAAATGTCAGTTTCTATCATTATATTTTAATATTGCTTTTTTACTTATTTGGTTTTCACACCATCTTAATGATTTACATTTGTAAGTTTCTTAATATTTGAAAGTATTTTAGATGGACTGCACCCTGTCACGCTATAAATAATCTTTCAGTGATTATATTGCAAAAACATTCATTCTAGATGACCAAGAAGAATTTTAAAAATCTATTTCGTTCACCTTTCAGAGGTGAATTCTGTGTAAAACCCCCTGCCTCCCCTGGCATCAGTGCACAACTCACACAAGCCAAGGATCCGCTCCGTTCAGTCTCTAAGTGAGAGGATTCTGACCTCCTTTCCCAACTCACCGTGTAGGCTGAGATTTTCCCCTCCTCACCTACAGAAAGGCAGCTCCTCACTTCACTTGGTATAACAATACACTGTTGGGAAAAAAAAAAATATTAAATATATTAACCAAATTGTTACAGTTAGTTCTGTAAGCTTGATCTGGGAAAAAATAATATATATATTAAATATATTAACCAGATTGTTACAGTTAGTTCTGTAAGCTTGATCTGAAGTATGATAGATAACACAGAACTTTTTGGAAAGATCAGTCAGAAATTTGGATAAAGTGTGTTGAAGTGCCCACATAGTCCTGTTCAACTTTTGGCCAAACACACAAAATAGAAAAAATATATAATCATAGAATTGTCTGGGTTGGAAGGGACCTAGAAGATTGAATCCAGCCATCAACCTAACTATGATAAAAACCATCACAGAAGATTGAATCCAACCATCAACCTAACTCTGATAAAAACCATCACTAACCCATATCCCTAAACACTATGACAACCCATCTTCTAAATCCCTGCAGGGATGGGGCCTCAACCCCTTCCCTGGGCAGCCCATTCCAAGGCTTAAGAACCTTTTGGTGAAGAAATATTTCCTAATCTCCAATCTGAACCTCCACTGGTGCAACTTGAGACCATTTCCTCTTGTCCCATGGCCTGTTCCTTGGGAGAAGAGCCCGACCCCCCCTGGCTACACCCTCCTTTCAGGGAGTTGTAGAGAGCGAGAAGGTCTCCCCTCAGCCTCCTTTTCTCCAGGCTGAACACCCCCAGCTCCCTCAGCCTCTCCTCAGAAGACTTGGTCTCCAGACCCCTCACCAGCTCCGTTGCCCTTCTCTGGACACGCTCCAGCCCCTCAATGTCTTTTTTTCGTGGAAAGGGGCCCAAAACTGGACCCAGCTCTCAAGGTGGGACCTTACCAGTGCCCAGGACGGGGACGGTCACTTCCTGAGAAGAGAGAAATATTTGGGAAGCTTCCTTTTTCTTGTATATGTATTTGCAAGTTCTATCTGTCAGTGTATTACTGTTTTGCACCTTTGGTGTCCATGTATAGCTGTGCAAACCAACGTTTGGTATTTGCACAGACACTCATGTGGTGATGCCCAGAATCATAGAATCCCAACCCAGAATTGGGTTGGAAGGGACCTTAAAGATCATCGAGTTCCAACCCCTTGCCCTGGGCAGGGACACTCATATGAAGGTGTTTTCTGGGTGCAGCAGATGCAGAATATTTTAAATCATTCACAAGTTGAAACTGGTATGGCTGCTTTGACTCTGGGTTCACAGGAATAATTCCTTTCATGGGGGGGGAAAAAAACCCCACCCCACGTATCCCAGCGCTGTCCTGAGGTCAGAGATGCTGACAAAGAAAAATGCAGCGCTGTGAAAGTGGGAACTGTTCAACCCAGTGACATTGGGTTCATTTTCATTCAAACCCAGGAAATGGGAAGGCAGTTGGCAGAAATGAATTTCTTCTGAAAACTCTAAAACATGGATAATGTCCTAATCCCTTTGGGAAATGACAGTAAACTTTTATGTCTTAGCAGAGAAGCTGGTGTGAATTTAGTTGTAGTTTTTGAGGGATTAATTTTTGCCTTAGGAAATTTTTGCCGTAGGAAAGCCACACTCTGCATAGAAGAGCACATTTAAAAACTCAATGGCTTTTGGTTGTATTATTTTAAAAATATTCTTTTAAAGGCATTTTAAAACTAAAACGTTTTTAAATAATGTTTAACCGTTTCCTGCAGAGTGGGAAAGGGAAGAATATGACAAAATGAAAAAAGAAAGCAGCTTTTTATTGGAAAAAGAAGAGAAAACCAAGATGGAGCCAGAAATCCCCAAAGCTGAAGTAGAGAGAGAAAGCCCTGAAATGCTGGAAGAGCGGCAAAAAAGAGAGTTCCTCCTTGCTAAAATGCAAGAAATTGATAGAGAAACTCAGAATGTAACAAACATGAGACCTGCTTCCCAAACGCCGTCGGTAAATACAGCAAGAAAATCCGATTTGCTGGAGAAAAAAGAAAAAACTACTCAATTTTTTGAGCTTCCTGGGAGGGTAAGTAACGGATTTGGGGTAGGGGACAGGTTTTTAAATAATGTTTAACCGTTTCCTGCAGAGTGGGAAAGGGAAGAATATGACAAAATGAAAAATTTTAAATAATGTTTAAATGTTTCCTGCAGAGTGGGAAAGGGAAGAATATGACAAAATGAAAAAAGAAAGCAGCTTTTTATTGGAAAAAGAAGAGAAAACCAAGATGGAGCCAGAAATCCCCAAAGCTGAAGTAGAGAGAGAAAGCCCTGAAATGCTGGAAGAGCGGCAAAAAAGAGAGTTCCTCCTTGCTAAAATGCAAGAAATTGATAGAGAAACTCAGAATGTAACAAACATGAGACCTGCTTCCCAAACGCCGTCGGTAAATACAGCAAGAAAATCCGATTTGCTGGAGAAAAAAGAAAAAACTACTCAATTTTTTGAGCTTCCTGGGAGGGTAAGTAACGGATTTGGGGTAGGGGACAGCAGGGATGATGCCACCAGAGCACAGGGGCAGAAGCAGCGGAGCGTAAGGACTGTGGATTTGAGCAGTGAGTTAACATTTGGTAGTTACGTACCTTCCTTTGGGAAAGGATCTGGGAGACCGAGTTGGCTTACCCAAAAAAGTGACAATTTAGAAGAAAACGTTAAAGAAAACACAGATTGCAACAGCAAGAAGGAAAAGAAGTCCAATTTAATGGAACAGCTCTTTGGAAGCAGTGCCGGTACCATCCTTCTCTCTAAAAACAACGATCCAACACCTTTTGATGTAGAGTGGGACTTGAGAAATACTGTCCCCCTCGATAAAAACAGTAAAGTCAAAGGGAAAGAAGAAGGTGAGTTTTTTGGAGAAGGAAGGAACCCAACCCGGCACCGTCCGCAGCACGCTGCGAGCAAGCCAGCAGTGAGGACCCTCGGCTCTTTAGAAGATGAAATCGAAGAAGTAATCTTACACTGATCATATTTTTGTATCTTTTGTATGTAAATACTGAAAAAAAAAATTATTTTCCTGTAATATTTATTAGATACAGATTTGAAGCATTTTGGATATGTTGTAAAGCCTTATGAAGGAGTAATTATTTCCGTGAGTGGGTGTATGTCTAGAGGAAAGATGGGCTTTGATAGAGCAGCCTAACCCTTGTGCAGGAAACTGCTTCTGAAAGGTCATGTCCAAAGGCAGAGCTTGGAGACCTGGTGGTGAGTTGTGGCAGGAACACAGGGAAAGGTGTCCCCAGGGACTTGGAGAGATGAGACAGGCACTGGCTGGACGTTTGAGGGGGAACACTCTTGCCCCAGAATTACACTTCTCATGAGGGAGTGTTATTATTTCTTGCAGGATGAGTTGGCCAAGAAAGGTGAGAAGCTTTTATGTGGCAACCCTGGCATTCGGGGTGGCTACTTGATGGGCATCTCTGGCTGTAGGGAGCGTTGGGGTGGTGTTCCCTGCAGGCTGCTCACAGTTCTCTGCTTTTCATTTGAAATACTACTACTATTTTTTTTTTTGGCCTCAGATATTTTCTTTCTCAGGCATTTGGGGAGCCTCTTAACTGTGTCAGGAGAAGGCACGTGTAGCACCAGTGTGGGGAAGTGGGTAGGAGACACCTGGCACAAGGGCTCGGGGAGAAAGAGAATATTCTGCACTGCAATCATGTTGTCTCAGAAGAACATCAACAGAAGCACAACTAACTCAGGAACAGCCAGTCCCTCCTCTGCATAGGTTTTCTGGAGACCTTACTACCAAATTTGTCTAACTCTTCTCTTGTATTTAGATTATATTTATTACATAATGCCATTTTTTGTAATTTCTGAATTTTGTATGTAAAATTCCAATCATTACTAAGTTGGTTTTTTTTAACAAAATGGTTTTATTAAATGAGTTGAGTAAATTTTTGTGCGGAGATCATCCTTAACACAAAATTCTGATTTATATTTTTTTATATGAGGATGTTGATATTGGGGGGGGGGGGGGGGGGTGTTGCTGGTGAGGTTATTCACCAGTCACTGCCACGTACACAAATTAAAAAAGTAGGAAATGAGGGATTTAGCAAAGACATTCCAGAGAATAAGCTGAAGGTTAGAAGAACTAGAATAACAGATTTTGAAACTCCTCTCTGATATGCTCCCTATGAGCCTGATTCAAACCATACTGAAATGCAGAGAATTCTTGTGATTTCAAGATGCTTTCAGTCAAGATTTCTCTAAACACAATGGCTCCTCTGGAGAGAAAAGCTGGTGTCTGCATCATGCAATAACTTTGTTTGCTTTCCCATCCAGAAGGGAAATTGGTTGCAGCCCCAGCCCCAGCGTGTGGGATCATTCTCACCCTGGAGTGAAGAGCAGCTCATGTTCACCTGCTTCCTGAAAACCCTGATTTTATCAATTATAATATTCCAGGATTTAGCTGGGTGGTTTTGCTTGCAGCTGGTGGGAATATCAGGACAATCCTGACCAGCAACAGTGAATTTAACTCTGTTACTCTTCCGTAGTGATGTCTTTGGGGGGATACTGTGGTGTAAGAGGTGGGAGAAATAGGTGTTTGTGAAGGGATGGTCATTTGCCTTAATTTTCTTGCCCTACTCATGGGTGGCTCCTGCCATTCTAGAAGGTGGCACTTTGCTCTTGTGGGTAATGCTGGGATGGGCTGTTTAATTGCAGTGATTTCTTTGGGGGGATACTGTGGTGCAAGAGGTGGGAGAAGTAGGTGTTTGTGAATGGATGGTCATTTGTCTTAATTTTCTTGCCCTACTCATGGGTGGCTCCTGCCATTCTAGAAGGTGGCACTTTGCTCTTGTGGGTAATGCTGGGATGGGCTGTTTAATTTTCCTGCAGCTGAGGATTCCAAGGCATGATGTACCTGCTGTGGTTATTAAGGATCGTGTAGTGTATGGAGGGTTGGGTTTTTGTTTCTTTGCGAGTCAACCCGTTAACATCTGGTGGTTTCTGACTGTGGTGCTGAAACCTCCTCTGGGTGACCTTGCTCTGGCAGGGGGTTGGTGGTGCTGAAGGTGCAACCTGCTCTGGGTGACCCTGCTCTGGCAGGGGGTTGGAGGAGATGATCTCCAGAGGTTCCTTCCAACCCCATAGCATTCTGTGAGTCTGTAATAAACTGCGTAGTGTTCTGAAGTGGAGCCCAGCAAAAATGGAGGCAGCAGAAGCAACACCTTGGGGAGAATCATGTCGCTGATGGCAGGAAAGGGAGGGTTTGTTCCCAGAGCTACGTGGCTTCGCTGAGCCTGACCTGTTCTGAGGTGACAACTTGGAGCAGAAGAGATGCCCCGGGTGACATCCCTCGTTTATAACATCCCCTTTTGTCGGAGGGGATTTAACGTGGTCTCCTGTTTCGAATTTATCTCTTTGATTAGCGGTGAAGTTTTGATGTCTGCAGGAGGAGAACAATGGCATCAGTGTGCACTGTCAGGCGGGACCGGTGGCTGCTGGGGAGTTGCTAGGATACCTCTCCAAAAGGTACCATTCACTTGATTAACCACCAACCCCCTTTGCATCAGAAATATATTTTTTTTTCTCCTGTCTTCGTTTTGCGCTGGCACCAACTCTGCATCAGACGTGCGTGTGTGCTACAGGTTGATCTTCATGTTTGTCTTTTGCCTGCTTTTGAGATGCAAAAAAAAACCCCTCTGCACTCTGTAGTGAAGGATCCAACTCAATTCCAGTGGCAATCCCAGTGATCTGTAAGGTGAGGATTGCTGCCAGAGGGGAACATCAACCAGAGGGATCCAAGGGAAGGTTTGACTTTAGATATGCATTTCTGGGGTATAGGCTAAGGTTTAACTTTCTCTTTTTCAAGAGAATCTTCAATCCCTACAAGGAAATCTCTCATCTCCTGTGCATTATTTTCTTTTCCCTGCTCTGAGCAGGGGTTTGGACCAGATGGCCCTGCCAAGGTCCCATCCAGAGCTGCTCTGTGCTCCTGTCACCCCTGCCACGTCCCACTGGTATTAACGCTCCCTTCCAGCAGAAACCCGTTGTAAAACAGCCCTTTCGTGCTACTGCACAAAGTTGCCTCAGACACATCCTGTGTGTCCATCTGTTCTTGAATATGACAGCATTGTTTTCGGGACACAAATCCCAACTCAGCTCTCCCTCTCCACAGTGTGTGCTCATCCTTCCAATACCCTTTTTTTTTTTCTTTACTCTTCTTCTCCCAGTTGCCTGAAATATTGTGTTCAAACTTTGTCTTCAGGACCTTTTGCTGTTATTTCTGTGAGTCTTCCCTTTTTCCACAACCCTCTTTCTTATCTTTCCTAAACTCCTCTTGCTGCTTCCACTGTGTCTTTCCTCTTGATGGACCATCATTCCTTCCTTCTGCCTGAACACTCTTCTGCTTTTCATCCCCTCAGCATCACAGTTATATTCTCCCTAAATTGCCTTTATCTCCTCTCCCACAGTGTCTTTTCTCGCTCTGGAGCTCCCTACCAGCCATGTTGAGCTGTGTTTCTTCTCACCTGGGGGTGGAAGCAATGGTGCAAGAGGGTAGGAAGGACCTTGCAGGAGGGAAGGAAGGAACTGGTTTCACTTGTGCTTACACATGGGTGTGGAAGTACTAAGATCATAGAATGGTTTGGGTTGGAAGGGACCTTAAAGATCATCCTGTTCCAACCCCCTGCCCTGGGCAGGGACACCTCCCACCAGACCAGGTTGCTCCAAGCCCCCTCCAACCTGGCCTTGAACCCCTCCAGGGATGGGGCAGCCACAGCTTCTCAGGGCAACCTGGGCCAGGCTCTCACCACCCTCACAGCAAAGATCTCATCTCCTTCCTGAGATCTCATCTCAATCTCCCCTCTTTCAGTCCAGAGCCCAGGCACCAAGACAGTTGTACCCAGCTGGGCTGGTCAGGGGTCCTTACGGCGACCCAGAGAAGAAGCCTTGCCTGCTCTGAAGTCCTTGCATTTCCTGGGTGCTGCTTTGGCTGGGGAGGAAAATGTCCTTTCTGCCTTTTAGGGGCTGCCTGTGATTTTTGTATCCATCCTGTCCCACCTCTGTGAGTAGGAATTCCTCACTGTCCTTTCTCACCTTCTCCTTGCTGCCAAGGGCTCCAGCCTGTTCATCTTCCCACCATCTCCCCTCAGTGGCCTTAACCCTTTGAGTTAGTGGGTATAGGCCTGAAAAGCTGTGGGTTTCTGTGCTAGGATCTTGACGACCTGCTAATTTGGGTTCTTCTGACAGCCCTTCTGCCCATCCTCCTGCTGCTCCCACGTCCCAGACCTTCCCAGTCACTCTCCCTTCATACCAGTTGTCTTGTTTCCATTGCCATGTATGGGGAGCGTGTGGGACCCGGGCTGTGTGCTGCTGTGTTTTGCAAAGCTTCTAATGAGCTGTTAGAGCTTCACAGTTTGCTGCTTAATAATTCTCCTGGTAGCGAGGAGGGATAACCCAGGTGCTGTAATTCACTCGAGAGCAGTTAATTACTAGCCCTCAGCCTGAAGAAATCCTGTTTGGATTGGCAAAGGGCACCAACGGAGCTCCCCTGCCTGACCTTCCTCTGGCTGTGAAGCTCACTTTGGTGTGAATTTCTAAGCCTATGGGCCTCACACCACCTGTGTGGAAACCCTAAGGAGATGAGTCCCACTGGTTGGTGGTGGAAGTTAGACTAGAAATTTCCACATTCTCACCCATTAAATATATATATAAAAGATAGATAGATAGACAAATAGATATCCCAGTGACAGGACAAGTGGGAACGGGCACAAACTTGACCATAAGAAGTTCCACCTAAACATGAGGAGGAACTTCTTTCCTGTGAGGGTGGCAGAGCCCTGGCAGAGGCTGCCCAGAGAGGTGGTGGAGTCTCCTTCTCTGGAGACATTCAAACCCACCTGGACACGTTCCTGTGGGACCTGCTCTGGGTGACCCTGCTCTGGCAGGGGGTTGGACTGGATGATCTCCAGAGGTTCCTTCTCAACCCCAAATCATTCTGTGATTCTGGGATTATAAGGCACGGCCCCCATTTTCACATGTGTAAAAAGGCATCCTCCATCCAAATCTCAGGTGTTCTACTGAAAAAGGCACTCACCCCATCTTCAGTCCTAGAACGAGCTGAGATGTGCAATTTCTTCTATTGAAGAAATGCATAAATCTAGGATTAAAATGATCCCAAGAATATTCTAATGTCTTCTAAAAACCCTGTCTCTCTGATTTTCTGTTTGTTTCTAGTGAACAGACCACAGCTGCTGAAACATGGATGTCACTTTTGTAAGCAAAGGGCATAAATTCACTGTAACTGAAATCACAGCGTCCTCCTGATACTATCCCCACGATCCAGGGGAAAAGCACAGTTAAAGCAGAGCAGCATTCAATAGAAGTAGTTAATTTTAAGCAATATTAATATTTTTGTGGTGTTCTCAGTTATAAATTACGCCCTGAGATCTAGAGTGCCTCCAAACCTAATCAAGTAAATACAGACTTTAATGAGTGGCAATGACAAAATCTGGGAATAACTGTCCTGACTTTCTGAGCCAGCAGAGCCCTGCGCTGCCTGTTGAATTCGAGGCAGGTAAATCTTCCTGGGCAGCGGGCTGGTCTCCTGAAATAATTTATCCCCTTGTCTAAGGTCTGCACCATCCCTACATTGGAGATCAAGAGCTCTTTACCCCATTTTGGCCAAACGATGTTCTCTGGCTGGTGCAATCAGCTGAGAGTGAAACAAAGCATGTGGTGGTGTTGTAGGAACTCCGTGTGTCTGGAAAGAGAATATGTTGAGTTTTCTAAGCAAATCACAGGCTCCTCTTGGCTGAGACAAAGCATTGTTTAAAGAGCCCCAGTTCCTCTGTGGTGCTTGTTTGTTCACACACTTTGCTCCTGAGTAGCTCTTTTAGTTGTCCTCTCTCCACCTGCTGCTGGTTTTTTGTCTTATTTAGCTCAGGATAAAGTTTTATGAAATATATC